ATATATATATATATATATATATATATATATATACCACTGAGCAGAAGGGTCTTGTATTTGTGCATGTTTGTGGATCGATTGTGTGTGCATAAATTATCTTTGTGTAATTTATCTTTGAATTGGTCTTATTAGTATAAAAAACATGGCTTACCTTTCTTTTTGGGGTTTTCGTTTTCTGGTGCTCTTTTTACCCTTAACAATCATGCATTTTTGGTTGCTTGATTTACTGTTTCCTTAGACTAATGCCGAGATACGGACAACTGGTAGTCGGGCCCGCGGGATGTGGCAAGTCGACATACTGCTCAACAATTCAGAAACACTGTGAGACCATCCAACGAGCTTGTCGTGTAGTTAACCTGGATCCTGCGGCCGAGTACTTCGAGTACACTCCATCGGCTGACATACGCGATCTTATTCAGGTAGGCTTACGATCACAGAAAATTCGCGGAATTGTAAAAGGTGAATTCCCTGAGGTTTAGTTGCGTGTTTCCGTAGGTTGACGATGCAATGCAAGATGATGAGCTGCAACTTGGACCTAACGGGGGTCTCATATTCTGTATGGAATACCTCTGCCAAAACTTCGGTTGGCTTGACGAGGCTCTGGGGGAGGCCGAGCTTGACTACATCCTCTTCGATTGTCCAGGGCAAATTGAACTGTACTCACATCTGCCAGTAATCCCACGGTTGGTAGAACACCTGCAGCGGAAGTGGGACTTTCACATTGTCAGCGTTTTCATCCTGGACGCTCGTTTCCTTGTGGATGGGTCACACTTTCTCTCGGGGATTCTCTCTGCCCTTGCGGCAATGGTTTGCCTCGGAACTCCCCACATCAACGTCATGACCAAACTAGATATGCTTTCAGAAAACAAACAAAAACTGGTTTGCGCTCGATACCTACAACCCGATTTGGATGACCTTTGCGAAGTATCGGATGACGAGACAAATGGTGAACATTCTTCTCCTCCTCGAAAATTCGCTCGCCTCACGCGGATGCTGGCTGGTGTTGTGGAACGCTACAGTTTAGTCCAATTCCAGCCTCTCAACAGGGATAAGGAGGATACTATAGAGGATCTTCTCTTCCAAATCGACCTTTGTCTCCAATACGGTGAAGATAACGAACCAATGAATCGGTTCTTTGACCAAGCAGAGCACGATTTGGCTTGCGAAGAAGCCGAAGAGGATTAATTTAACAACAAGAAATCAATAAATTGTATATACATATCTTAGTTCGTTTTTGTCCTCTAAGCGTTTGAGGTGCCAGTCTGGTAACCGTTTTTTACCTACTTATGCGGTAGCCCTCCTATGTGATTGAACGTGCGAGCAACAGGTTCGCTGCTCTTGCGGTCAAGGCCGCAATGGCAACCGCGTTACTCTATTTGGTTGAGTTCATGTTGAGACGGGCAACGCTAGCTCTAGACAGACATGAGCGCTTAAGAGGACTAGTTCTTCTACTGGAGACGCTTGCTCACGCTTTAACAGGAGTGGTGTTTTGGACGGTCGCAGCACTTCAGCTTCCTGGGCCGCAGCCATTTCGTCACCTGGTGGAATCGGCGTGTTATGCCGCAATTGTTGCCGTTGTCGTCGACATCGATCACTTTATTGCTGCTGGGAGTCTCTCCATACAAGTGAGTTGGAATTTAATTATCGCCATCACCGTTTGTGCCAGCCGAGGATCAAGACGGAGTATTAGGGTGGCTCCGTGCACCCGATTAAAATGAAAACCTCTTGTTAAATTGAATCTTTAATGATTTTAAAGGCTGCTCGATCTCTCTCAGGACGTCCATTTTTCCATTGGACGGGTCTCCTCATTTGTACCGGGATGGCCCTTATTGTCTGGAGTTCGATTGTCCGACTGTGCTTTCCCAATCCATCTCGTTCTTTAAGGCTAACGGTAGCTCTGGGCTGGGTCACCCTGGTTGCCTGGGCCTCGCATCAACTGCGCGACTCTCTTCGGCGTGGCCTGTGGCTGTGGCCACCTCCCCATCCCCTTGTTTCGCCCCCAAACCACGTCAGCACGCCTCCTCTTCCCCTTACTCTCACATACCCGTTGGGCCTGACCGTTATTCTCAGCATCCTGCACTTTGCTCCACCCAGCCTGACCGAGTGTGCTCCCTTTTCACTGTTGTTTTATCATGATTTAAATAAAGTGTCAAATGTTTGATGCAACTACGTGTTTGTTGCCCTACTTTTAATGTTTGTGCTCACATTCATCTGCTACCAACTTGTTTTCCGGATGTGAACGAAGGTTTTGTATTTCCTTTTAAGCACGGCATCCTAAAAGAGGAAGTACTGTTCCAGAGGGACTAGTTGTGTCCAATTTACCTTTTGCACAAATTCCAGGCTTGACTGCTATTACCTATTGGTATGTATATTTTTTTTTATGCGGCTCGTAAAAGTGTATGCACAGAAAACGAACCCAGATGGCCCACTGTTCATCAAGAAAACAACTCGTGTTTGACCAACTTCACTCTTGCGTGGGCTGCAGTAGTGTAGACAGATTATGCCCACGAGGTAGCTGGACAAACGTCCGCCATGCAAAACGAGTTTCCTGCGGCTTAATTAACAGTTGGCATTCTAAAGTTACGACATTAGGTTTACTTACAATGTCGCGAAAGAGATCTGAGCTTGTAGAAACCTCACCATGTGCCGAACTTCAGTCAAGGTGATTTTTCCTTCGCGTCAAGCCACTTTGCCGGCAAAGTATTTCTGAATAAATGTTGCCTTTTCAAATTGAGTGGTAGTTATGACGATCGGATCATCACCAGAGCTTGATCCAATGTTGCTTCTAGTTTAACGTTTAGGTATTTGAGGGATTCAAAGGTAAGTTCTGCATTCTCTGATTGCAATATCCTGTTTACGTTGTCATAAAATTAAAGTAAAACACAGCGGAAATTGCGTGCGTTGGATGCCCTGGTTGTGGTTTGGTGCTCAATCCTTCCCCGCCCCCAGTTAATTTAAACTGGCATCAGGTGCTTTGCATTGATTTTAAGGTAGGCTTAGCCTAATATGAGTAATTGGAAGAACACGTGACTGGTGGTTATGCCTTATTGGGGTACTGATTCGGGGCAAGTTTGGCGAGGAGGTGTGCGCAACTGACTACCCCCGAAACGTTTCACTCTCATCGAAAAGTGTGACTTGCTTCGTATTTTACATAACTGAAGTGTTCCCTAACGTGCAGATTTCATGAAAAATTGTGCGCTGTGAAAGATTGACCAATGGCAATCTGGATTAGTCCGAGAAATTGGGGATGAAACTCTCTGCTGCTGGTGCAACCATGCCCACGTCTGCTGGAAAAATAAAGGATGTTTTAAGTCCTGTGTGTGCTCATACCAAATCGAGGTTCTGTTTAGACTTATTTTTGTTCTAAAAACGCAAGTCTGAGTCGTCTTTGGTTAACCTCTGTTTCGGATATCGTCTGCATTACAGTTCATTCAAAAAGGGTGGCAGTATAATCCTACCCGTTAAGTGTCTGGGCTAAAGAGGTAAATAGGCATTGAGCCAAACAGGTCTGGTCGCGATATTTCCAGAACTGAGGTACTACCCAAATAGTATCAGTAGTAATTGCACAGTGAATGATGTCCTTACAACTCTGTGTCCTTTGTAGGGAGTCTTCTGAAGAACCGGTGTCTATCATCCTAACTGACCATTTGTACCTTTTTAGGTTCAGGTTAACTTATATAGGAACCCAATGAACAGCCTCAAATGCATTCGTTTTCTGGACTTCGCGGGAGTTAGCCTTCTCAAAAAGCACAAAGGAAGCAGTTCCAAGGCAAGTACATTCTTTAATCTTTGTGGTCAGCTAGTCTTTGGATTGTTTTGTGTACATTAATCTTTTTTTTCCACTTTTGCCATGTAAACTGGTGGGTGCAGCAGCAGCAGCAGCAGCAGAACCGACGGTTGGCCTTTTGTGCTGCCGCCGAGTGCCTTGGCATCCGTCTGATTAATGCCTGTGGGGTTTTACCTTGCCGAATTCACTTACGCATTAAATTATGTGGTGCGTTGCCAAGGCAAAGCTAAGGGACCATTCACGCTTTGTGTGGTTGTTGAAAGTCAATCTGACTGTTTGAGGGTTTAAGATCTGAAGGCATAAGCAACGAAGTTAGGAGCGTTCATTGGAATGTTGACAGTGATTTATGCACAAAAGCGCCTTCAAGCGGAACCGCCTTCTCCAGGTACACGACTGCACTGCACCGCGGCACGCGACTTCACAACTCCTCCGTTCCTCGGCTCCGAGTTTTTTTCGCAACCTGTTTGCCACTAGAGCCTGGACCGAAAATCATGCAGGAATAAAGCACTTAAACTTCCAACAGCAATCCAGCCGTCAATTTAAACGCTACACAAATTACAAGACCCCATAATTAATGCTCTTTCTTATTTCTACTTGAATTGTCCTTACTTCTAAGTATTGCAGACAGATGCTAACTAACGCAATTTCTTGTATCCGCCTTTACCTTAAATAACTCACCTGTTAGATTTCGCCAGCATGATTTTTATACTCGCTTCTTGTATTGCTCGTGACCTGCCGCTGAAAGCTTTAAATAGGCTTATGTCCGAAAGGTTATTGTACGAAATCATTTGTTTTGCCAGAGAACTAGTTTAGCATTAGAGCCATGAAAAGACTTACAAAGTATCTGACCTCTTTAATCCACTTGCTTAACCCCCAGTCAAACTCCTTGCAGAAAGTGCATGGTTTAACTATTTACGCTGCAGGTCTTTCTGTCGATGAAGTCACCAGCACTCACGCCCACAATTGTTTTTTGATATTTCCGTTTAAGTATCAGTATGACCCTTTGCTCGTCAGGTAGATGTAAAAGTCATCTGTCAGCCCAGGTCGCCTATTTCTACTGCCGACTCTCAATTTCTCGTTGTATAGGCAGTTAGTTATGTTTTGCCCTTCATTACCTCTATGAGGGTTTGTTTGGTCGTCTAATTTGCATTAGTTAGGGTAAACGCTGTAAAGGTGGTCACTAAAAATTTCCCTCATGACTGAGCTCATAAATCATGCGGGGCACTGCCTGATACTGCAGGGAGTGTGGAAATGCCACTGTACTTGGAGCTATTCACATCGCAAATCCCTGATATTGCCTCGCCAAATATGCCCACTTTATAGTGATGCACGCATTTAGTCATGCAGGTTTCGGCACTTGTGATGTGGAAACCCTGTTGTAATTGTTACCCAGGCCCCACGGGGATTCACTTGTTGCACGGCGATTTCTGCTTTCAGCCGTTTGGGTTAACTGAGTCACAGTCGGTATGCTGTTTGGAGTTGCGATCGAAACGGCTTACGCTGGGTCACAGTTGTGCCGGTGCATTTGCAAGACACTTAGTTTAACCCGTTCCCCGCGGCTTTTTTTTCCACTTCCTCCAGCCTTTGTAGCGGCCATTGCCGGTTGCTGGCCTTTGCCGGTAATTATTCAGCAAAACACTCTTACACTAAATGTTTTTTTTTAAAAAAAGCACGCGACCTTCTACTGGTTAGGCAGGTGTAATTTAGTGCATTGTCCTCAATCGCAAGCAAAGGAAGCCTATCGTTGGCCTCCTATTGGTTCTGTCTGTTAATACGAATTTTCTGTTTCTTTTGTTGATTGAGAGAGGTGGAAAGATCCCTACACCACATATAACAAGGCGTAGGGAAATAAGTCATCTCCATTTTTCATTGCATGTGTCGGAAATGACATTCCACTTTAGTGTCCTGAAATGAAAAAAAGTCGCCTTACTTATGAACCGCAGTGACGTATTCCTCAGCCGAATAAATCACAGTTCTATTCGGTTGAGTCACGCAGCGAAGGAGATTTGGTGGCATTCACCCGCAAGTATGGACCCAGCGACTGCACGCAAATGCGGCTGCACGAGAGTTGAATCAAGACGCCTCAGTTCAGTCGCTCGTGCCCTAACATACCGATTTACCGCTTCAGTTGAAAATGCCGGAATTTTTTTGTTATCGGTTCACACGTCAAGCCTTTGTGCTTCTTTGCTTTAAATATTTGTACCTTAGGCATTAATCTTTTTGCCAAATCTGCTTAGATGTAATCTGGTTGGTCTAGATTTTTGGTACGCCAATGCGAATTTCTCTAAGCTGGCGTGGTGGTTTTATTTCCGAAAAAAAGTTGAATGGATCGAGTCTGTGCTGTGGTAGGCTATATGCAGCTTAACCAAACGGTACCAGTGTCCTGCACTGGTGATGGTGACCCAGTTTATTCAGGTAATTCAGGCCTGTGGATTTGCCTTTATGAAATGACCTTCTAGTATACCATGATTTACTTAAATATGCGTCTATTCCAGCTTGCTTTTACTTATAAAGTCTTAAGCAAATTTCTGTTATGTAGCCCACAACTCACCACAAAATACAGCTCGTTACCTGTAAATGATAAACTTGGGCGTAGCTTTCGCACACGCATTAGTAAATCACGACGTGTTTCACTTGGATTAATGGCTTTTCCTTAAACCTAGAATGTTGATTTCTGTAGGATATTTCAATTAGTGGGTTCTACTTTTTTCGCATATTTATCTTTGCTAAGTAGATTTCAAGGGATTTCTTCTAATGAGCCAATTCAAAATGCATCACCGTGTCACCTGTTTAGGCAACGAACAAACCGGTGAAAACCGGCAATTCAACAATGAGTTTTGCAATCACTTGGTCACTACTAGGCGGTATTTCTCGTTCAAAAGCAGCTTGTATTTACTCCACTCTCTTTGCAATGTTGATCGTCTGTGTCCATCGTAGAAAATTGGCACGCATATTCGTGTGGCCATAGTATGCCCGAGAGCAACCTCTCTCGCTTCCATGTGCGTCAGATCCTTATAAAACCAGCCAAGAATCTATGCTAAGTAACTTGCCAAATGAATGTTTCCCTTCCATTTTAGCTGTGGCTAGAGCGGCAGAGGCGTGATCCCTTTGTAAAGAACGCTCGCATCAAATCCTATCGTTGCCGGAGCGCCTTCAAACTGCTTCAAATAAACAATTCTATGCTCGAAGGCGGTCTCATCCGGCCCGGGGATACGGTGGTCGATTGCGGTGCTTCACCGGGCTCCTGGACCCAAGTGGCCGTCGATCTGAGCTCACCCGGGGGCACCGTTTTGAGCCTCGACATTCAGGACTTCGAGCCAATTGAAGGCGCCATCTGTCTACCGAAAACGGACATCCGTCAGACTGCAGAGGTCACGAGGATAATAAAAGAAAAGTTGGGGTGCGCTAGGGGTGTGGATGTGGTGCTCAGCGATATTGCCCCAACGGCCACTGGCATTCCCGACCTTGACCACCCAAATCTCATAAACCTCGCCCAACGCGTGCTCCAGGCAAGTGCTTTTAACCCGACTCCTGCTTTCGAAAGCACAAATTTATCGCTGAAATGCGAATAGAAGTGACCAGACTGCCGCCTTGATAATAGCCGATATTCGAAAAGTTAGGTGGCTTGAAAGCCAACCACATTGGCTCGTGCGAGAGTTCCGACCAGTTTTGTTCGCTACCCTGACCAATCAAATGTCGACAGATTAATTCACGTTTTAACTGGCAATTTGTCTGTTCAACAGCCCAATTTATGTACAAAAATGACCCTTTTTTCATACTGCCTTTGCTCAAGTCTTTCATGTTTGTAAATTGAATTCAGCGACAAGGTCATTTGCGAAAATTTGGTATCGGTGCTTTCGATTAATTAGCCGGCAATCAACAGTGCGATTTGTGAATTTCTTGGAGGCGTGCCAAAGCGCCGTGGTTGTGACGAGTGTGTGCACCCTTGGGCAGCATCTGGAACTCGTAGACCACGACTTGTGAAGACGCACTATGAAGTGTCCTGTCTTATATTGTCTTGTTATACTCCAGGGCCTTAAAAACTTGAGCAAAAAATCAATAACAGTCCAAGTTAATCTTTGAGCTGATCAGACAACTATGAGGCCCTTGTACAAGAGGAGACTGTTTGGAATTCATTTGTTTGTTAAGTTTCTCAATTACTAAAATCGTCGTAGCATCAAAGTCTCAATTTTCTCTATTGAAGTCCCCTAGTTTTGGTGAGAAAGCATGGCCCAAATACCACTTCTGGCGTGTAAACGCGGCTGTAGCCTTAGGTGGTCACGCAGTTATTTGTCGATGAGGTGTGTGGAGACCTGCAACGCAAAACTCAGGCACCCGTCGTGGGCATGCATTTTCACTGTTGAGTGCTTTTTCTGTTGTAGCTGGCTTTGCACATTTCGCGACCGGGTGCGAGCCTTCTGATTAAGCTGTGGAGCTGTCCCGAAGTCGACGATTTCAAGCGTCTCCTCGAGCGCATCTATTTGGGTCCATCAACCAATTCCAGGGGTTCGGGCACGTGGGACAAGTCTCCCGCCGTTCGGATCCTCAAACCGAAAGCCAGTCGACAGGAGTCCGCTGAGATTTATGTTTGTGCTAGGGGATTCTGTTTTGCTCCAAATAAATAATTTCCGTCCCATAGCACAAACCTCTTTTATTCGCATTTCCTTCTGGACAATTAACCGTATTCAAATCCTCCTCAAATGTTGATGATAGAATCCCCCTGAAATCACGGCTTATCTCCTGGTTGCAGCCAATACGATAAGTTGTGTGGTATCTCGATTACGGGCTCCTAAATGCCAAGCCACGCCCAAATTGGGGGTCGAGACACTGACTGCTTATGTCCCTCAAAAGTTGCTATTCATTTTCCAATTATTTTGTTAACTCTTTCCTTTATCGCTCCGACGACCAAGGTAAGTTTGTTAGGCTCAAAGTCGAAAGGGTGCCCTCAGGTCGCGTAGCTGTCTCGGTTCTCATAACTTTAACGGAATTGCAGTTTGTACTGCAATCCCATTGCCAGAGTGTCATTGCCCTGGTGCTGCGTTTTGTTTTGTGTGCCAGACAGCATAAAATTAATCGGAATGGGGGGAGTTGTGTTATTATTAGTGTTTGTGTAAACATTGGAGGACCAATCGCGTCCGAAAGGTAATTATCGTCTGTGTGGTCAGGAGGCCATGCTGTGGCTGCCGCTGTGTTGCAGTTTTAAGAGGATGCAAATTCTGTTATCTGCATCCGCCAAAGGCTAATTTTAACCGCCGAAGCCCCAACTCATTTAGGTGTTTGGTGAATTTCGGTTTCGTCCTTTTCCACTGAAGCCACTTGAAATATAAGTATTTTACATTATTCAAGAAGAATCTGCCCATCTAAGAATGATTGCTTTCTTCGGTTGATTGGACGTGCCCTCAAAAACGGCAGTCTGAGAGAGGGCTCATCTGACTAAAACACTCTTCTTCATTGAACGCGACATACATTGTAACCCATTACACAGTATGTTCCAAGAGAACATACTAAGGCTACATTTATGGGATAAAAATTTACACCCGTTTTTTGTATAGTGCAGATTTTATTGTGGCATTGTTCTAATCTACCAACGACGAAATAGGACCATTTAGTTTTTCAACCAGAAAAGGTCTTCGAACTCCAGAAAAGTAGATGGTTTGTGGGAGGATGTGTTAATTGTAGTCGCCCCCTTAACTCGGCGAACATTGGCGCGTTGTGGCCGAAATCCCATCACAAGAAACGTGCCTTTTCTCCCGCGTCCTCGTCAACAAGGAGTCATTCTATTTTGTAGATGCATAAGTGGGAATGGGGACTTAGAGGCGAACCTCGGATATGGTATCAGGGCAACATCTTGGTTGAGTGGCAATCAAAAGCGAAATCGACAGAAGTTAATGCCAGAAACCGGTTCAGTTCCTATGGAAAAAGCCCCAGTTGGGTTGTTTGGCTCCTCGGATGCATGGTTAAAAGGAAAAGTCCGTATAAGCCAACAAGTGTCGATTTCTGAGTATTTTTGGCTCTGCTTTATAATTAAAGCACTGTACCTTTCACCATGGATTATCAAGTGGATTGATCTGCTGGGGCTTGCGGTTCCATTATTTGCCTGCTGTTCAAAAACCACTAGCGATCTGCGCATCGCAAGTCACAATAGAAAACATAATGTAATGAAGGCTCGGTCTCAATTGCATGAAGCTTTACTTGGCGTAATTCAGTGCTTTGGCATGGCCTTGTGGACTGTCAATTGCCACAAGTGCAGAAGTCAGGTCTGGCGAGGTTCCGATGGTACAGCGTGCTTTTGACGTTAAATTTTTATCCAAGTCTGGAGGCTTTGTAAGCTGAAATTCACTCAAGACTGCTTTGACTTTGTTTGCCCAGCCAAAAATATTATGATATCATGATATCTCTATTGTCTACACTAGTTTGTGGACGCCATTAAATTCTAAAAACTGCGTGACTTATCAAAATGCTGACAATCACGTTCGTCTGTTGCACTCACAGCGGAGTCTCTAAAAAGGGTTTTTCATAGGAGGGTGAAATTAAATCCCAGTGTTACGATGTGATGATTCAAGGCACGGCAGAATATCAATTTTCGTCTTGCCTTAAAAATAGGCACTTTCATCTACGATGATGTTGAGAACTTTATGGTACAAATAGATCTTCATTCTGCGGGATCAGCTTTTTAGTGCCTAAAAATCCAAAGTCCACTACGCTGATTCCTTTGAAGGAATTACTGTGCAGCGAGGATCCCAAATCCACACTTAAAGGGCGATTACTGTGACACAAATATCAGATTTGAGGTTTATTAACCACACGTGATGCGACATGTATAATGAAGTCATTACGTATGCACAATGCAAATTTTGTTTTCAAAATGCTCACTTAATCCTATTCTTTTGATCACCCGACCCAGGAGGTGATTTCCATAAGCATCTCTTGCGAAGGCTGTGCACTTGCAATTGACGGAGCCATTGTGTTTCCAGTTGACGTGGAAAGCATGAACTATAAATGTGCGCAGCACTTGCTTACGTTAATAGGTTTTCATGTCAATGATTGATGAATACAGGGGGGAAAAATCAGGAACGAGTTTTGAAGAAGCAACTGGATAATAAAATAAATTACAGTTATTTTTTGTGCGTCCAGTATCTGACATGCACATATTTTCGAACAATGAAAAGTGTGGACTAAGGCTTGGATCTTCAGGGTGAAAGCGTTCTCAGCTACTTTTTTTTTAAATTTTTATGAAAGTGTGAGGATGATGCCGTCGACTTCGTCACCTAGATGTTGATGCCAATACCGGAGTCAGTCCATTCACTGTGGTTTTCAGAGAAGCAGAAATGCGTTTGGTGCAGCTGGATTAATTAGGAAGCTATATACTCATTAATTTATCTATCCAAGTAAAATAACTAAACAGCATAAAGTACGGAGTGTAGACCTGTTTTGTCCTAATTACTGCAGGAAGGGTCAGCTCCTAGGCAATTTTAAGTGATATTTTCAAATCCCTGGGGAATACCGTGTAAATTAGCAACAATCCCCTGAATTCATATTCAGCCAGATGCAATGTCCGTTCTGTCGCCTGATGGTGCAGCCGTCCCACTCACCGCACACCCCAGTGAATAATACCCAATCGGCATCAGATGTTTTGTTTATCCAAAGGTCCCACGCGCTCTCGTGCCCACTGGTGCAATTAAGCGCAACCCAAATCGTGCTGGCCGCCGGCGCCGGGGCATCGCTCAAGGCCACAACACTGCCAATCACTATCCGCACGTATCAGTTAAATGCAACATACTTTGTTTGCATCGTCTATTTCGAAGACAAGAAATTTTCTGCATTTTTATCGTCGTAGAAGCAACAGTTTGTTGTGCAAAAGCCTGCACAACCTTGTAACACCTATGGTAGCAAAAGATGTGTTGTAGAGAACCGGAGCGGAAACAACTGCATAAATGAATTTTAAGGTGCTCATTTATCTCATTCAAATCTACAACCAATTAATGTAAACGGGTTCCATGTTGCAAGTTATTTGATAGTCAACTGGAACCCTAGCTAAATGTTCTGTAGATTTTTATGCAAGTTTGCATTTTACTCTCAGATTTCCGCACCAGCCACTAATTACTTTTAAACACTAATTTAACGGCGATCGCAGGGGTCTGTGGACACGCCTGTGGCAAAAACTTCAGCAATTTATTCCATTATTGCTTCGTCAATGCTTTATTCGCCCAATAGCATAAATCCGTTGTTCAACCACCTCACGTGAATGATTTATTGTGAAGCTAATTACTAAAACAGTTTTTAGGATCATTTTAATGGCACAACACTATGACCTAAATTAATCTTTAACGTATTCTTACACAAGCATTTCGTGAAGGTACCTACTTAAACAGGCCGGATTCTATCTCACGTAATATCTGCTAAAATAATAAATGCACTGCCATGAGAACAATGCAAGGTGAATACGGCACAAGAAAAGAAACGTGATGCCAGGGTAATTTTTCAGTAAGTTTGTTTACATTTTGTCTGAATAAGTAAAACGGGATATCAATAATCGTGACTGGCAATTCCGTTTTGTTTTCCATTTGTAAAAAAATCTGTGAGATTTGGTGGAAGTGTGGATCCCGAAAATGATGACTGGCTAACATGAACTATTATCATCGGGAAATTTATGGACAAATGACACGCTTCTGCTAGGATCCGTTCCTTTGCAGTTCATTTTCCACGTAGTTGGCTATCGATGGGTTTACGTGGCCTCAATACGGTGCCCGATTTGGCATAAGTTTGAGTGCTTGCCGAGCAGTTATTTCATCACGTCGGTTGGAAGCACATTTTACTTGCATTGGCACATTTGGTCGTCTGAAATCAATTTGGCATTGATTTGTGCAATGTATTCTTGAAAAAGGCAACACACGTTGACCATATCCGTTTTTAAGAGGCATCTCAATTGAAACCAGTTGACCTTGAGCGATGTATGGGAGTGTGGATACGCTGAGACCTTGGAGACAACCACTCCAACACGATAAAGGTAGGCTCCATAACCGCTACATTACTCATGCCATGTGCTCCCGAAATTTCACTCAACAAGAGCTTTTTAGAACCATTCCAGCAGTGTTGAGCAACCATATTGTAGCACACTCAAAACCACTTGCATCGGTTTTTCGTTACCTGTACCTAGAAATCTGAAGAGTTTATTTGCTACGATAAAAGAAATCCATTGATCAACATGACGCTTGCATGCATGTGAGTACTTACCAAAAAACCAACAAAATATTGGAAAAACGTGGTAACCGTACATGTTATTTCTTTGGGCTACATATTTCAGTCTCATCATTATCTGTCGCTAATTTTCGCTTACTAACAACAACCAAATATTACTGAATTTGGTGGCTCATCAGATCAGTGGAGCAGTTAAACGCCCATGCCATCAGCATCAAATTGCTGGGACTTATTCGTTGGTCTTGCAGGTCAGGGAAACGGAAACATCAATCCTCATCATAATAACCCTGTTACAGGAAATGATTTTCCTGCCCACATGTTTAGAAATTTCAATTTTAGGCAGTTGAGTTTTTCTCATTGTCGCAAACATTTTCGCTTAGGATTTAGTGATCGTTTCATGTAGTTAATGTGAACGGCAGACCATTTTATGTCAGTTCACTGGGTCGAAATTGTGAGGGGCCATCCACGTTCCCTGCGCTCCCATCAGTCACAACTTGCGTGCATCGAGCTCCACGCCTGTTCTCTGCGCGGCCTTGTGCGCATGGCCCAGTTGATGGACTGTCTGGCTTCGATTGGTTTCCTTATTCTGCCTCAATGGGATGCTAATTAACAAGCTGCAGGAATCGATGCATAATAACTTCTGCTGCTGTCGTCCCATTGAAAGATGCAAAATGAGTGTTTTGTGGCACGGTACTTCCGTTTGTGTAGAAATCGATTACTGGAAATGACTCATTGGTCTCAATGCTTTTGTGAAATAGCATATTTACTGCCACTCCCACGTAAAATAGGTACCTGATTGGAGGGGTGAGCGGAGCCGAATTCTGCTGTTTCATCAGTAATAGTCAAGTAGATGTCGCAGTTCCTCCGCCCCCCTATATCAGGACTCATCTTGAGCTCAACGCAAACTTGAACAACCTTAGATTGCTGTTCCGTAACTCGGATTCTCAAAGCCCGCCTCACATCGTCTTATATGAAAACGACAACTCCCGATTTCATATCCTCCCCATTCTGCCGACTGGCCATGGGTGTCTCCCATTTAGATTGCAATCATTGCTGAGCTTACGGTTTCCCGCCTAATGCAATCTGCTTCACCAAATTCATGCATTTTTGGCCCTTTGAAACCAAACATGGTCAATAAATTTGCCAGTTGCTGTTGCCTGTAAATGCCAAGTTTTACTCTCGTCTTCACATTGTTTTGCCCTTTCGTGCGGCGGTTCTGACAGCTGGTGGATTTTGACACGTGCGCGCCACACGAACCCACTGCCCCGACCCCCGTTCGAAGGACAAACTGGATGGTCTTAGCGGGCTTGATAGAGGACTAACAGATGGCCGAACAGAGGTCGTGAGTGGACGAGATTAAAGTAAGTTGGAGGGTGTGAGCTTCACCGTTTTCCTATCGTGTTTTGAATCTGGTATTACCCCTAATTTGGTAGAGTCAGTAAGAAAACAGCTCAGCATATATATGTTCATTCGCATTATATTTAAATTAGAATTACACAATTGGATGCACGTGGACGCAAATAAAAATCCAATAAAATTGCATCAATGCCTTTTTTTGAATACCTTAAATAGGGCGACGATGTTTATACACGCATACATGCTCGTTCAAGTTAATTGACTGGTATAAAGAAAACTCAGTTGTAGCAGCAACAAAGTGTGTCGTTTTACCGTGACCTCCCAAGAAAACGAAGGTCAGTGGTCAGCAGCTTAAGTTAACGTACAGGAACGCATCGTGTGATGAGTTCAAGACGGCATTGAGAGCATGGCTGAGGCATTCAAAACAGCTAGACTAATGATCGTGACACTACGTATAGTAAATTAATCAAGTAAAGTTATTGTTGTGACACAATTTGGTGAGCTTCTAACTAAACGTCTCCTTATCTGGCATCGCCGGAGCACAACACTTGACATCGTAGGCCGCGATGTGATGCTCAATATGTTATTCGATTGGATATGGAAGGAGCTCAGTAAGTAGATGAGGTCAGAATTTTTTGTTCAGAACTAGTCACTTTATTTTTGGGAGGTATGAGTTGCAGGTGTTACCTGTTATCAAATTTCTACGTAACATCTTTGGTGGAATCACGGCTTCAGAGGGACATTTTTCATGTTTCGTGGGCTTTCAGCATTGCATTCAGAGAAATGTCTGTGTGAGCTAAAGTTTTGCCCAAATATGTAGCTACCATTTGGCCCCAAAGTGGACTCCTTCATGTAGAAGGCAAAGCAAGGCGGTGACCAAAAAGTTTTCATTTTAAAGTTAGATTATGTCCTTGGGCATGAAATCGCAGTCAGGCCAAAATGTAAGGACTAAGATCCGTTGGGGATCAGCATCACTACACGTGGTGCTTCCAAGAAACTCGGCAGATTGTATTTACTATTGATGATTTCTGTTGAACTATATGGTTGTTTTTTGTACCGTTGGTCATTAGTAGTAGACTCCATGCGCATAGATACTGACACACCTTACCGTACAATATCTGGAATGGGATCTAATAATTCCTGTATTCTCTCCTCTTAAAGGGAACTTTGTGTCTTGTGCTCCGCCAGCCACTTTTCTGAATTGCTTCTCTTATTAGATTCAGCCAAAACGATTGTCCGAAACAGTCGGCTCGTTTGACGTGAAAAGCATTTGACATCTAGTTAACAATTTTGCACGCAAGGAATCAAACTTTGAAGCCCCACAGTAAAAAAGGCTAAATGACTACTGATGGTGCTGCTCGATCAGATACCAAGATAAACATGAGGAGATCTAATGCGAAGGAGCTCAACCCGTTTGTTGGGCCACAAAAACCTGGGCGCGAAGGGCTCTCGCTGGCCAGGCGCACTTACACGTCGTGGAAGTGGACAACTGATTTCGCCGGCTTATTTACACGGTGGTGTCACGCAGGGAGATTGAGACAGTTCACAGTTGAGAGTCAGAGGGTGGGCATGAGGTACGGAGTCAAATGGATCTCGAGGATTTATAAATCTACCGGCCAGTCATATGGGAACCGTGGTGGCAGTAGTGAATTTAACAGGATTCGCCAAAATTAGTGGAGGTTTGGGAAAAGGTGATGGCTCTCTCTATGCCAACGTGGGACGTTCTCGAGAAAGTTCGTGAATAATTTTACTGGGCATGAGCGAAGTGATCTCGAGACCGTTTTTTGATCTTCGTTCAACTTCCAACGCAGTAATTTACGTCAATCGATTTGACTGTTAGACGTTTGTTACATTTACACGTACACTGACACATTGCCACACAAAAAACAACTCTAATTAAGTTTCGAGCCTTTACCAACTTCAGGAGTCTTCGGGGTTTTCAGTGTCCACGCAAGTCATTGGGTTCGATAGCTAGACATTGTCAGGCGAAATTAGCATAACCGTTCGCTGTTTGGGAGTGTTATGACAGCAAAACAAGCCTTCAACTTGAATCACTTAAAGCAAGCTTAGTCGGGATCTTCGAATGGAGCAATTGATCACACCACCCTTTCGTAAGATCGGGTCATGCCGTAACGGCTAGATTTTAAGCGCTTTAATAGAATCAGAATGTCTGTGTTTGTTATTGCGAATCATTAGTGGTGGTTCTCTTTAACCGAGGGTTAAAAATTCGACTTCTCGTTTTCTTTTTACATTGGTAACGAACTTGTAAAACCCTAGCCAATTTTCGGGAGGTTTTGCAATTTATTGTGATTAATATGCCCATATTTGCACATCTGTTGCAAAAGAGGTAAATTGGTTTATAAACACGAAAAGTAACCCTTTAAAAAAGCAAACGGAACGCTGCAAAAAAGCCACTCCGAGAACAACACGGGAGCATACAGGACGCATCTAGGCCATCGTGCAAATGCATGTCTGTTCACCAACCAAGAGTAAACTGCGTTCAGACCTTTTTAACCAATGAAATAAGGGATGTTTGTGCCAACCAATTAACGTTCGCACAGGGGTGGTCAATCCGAACACGTGTTTGTCGTGTTCTCCATTTGGTTGCAGGCAGCGATGGCTACTAGTCGCCGTGTCCTTTTTCCAATTGACGCCAGTGACAATTGCCAGAGGGCTTTCAAGTGGTATGAAGTAAATTTGCGGAAGCCCAATGATCTTGTTTACTTTGTTCATGTAATTGAACCAGTTTACACCACTCCAGCTATCGGCTTGGCCATGGAGTCTCCTCCGTTGATGGTTGATGACATGACCCGCGTAATGGAGGAGAGTATAGCGGCTGGCAAAAAACTTGGCCAGAAGTACATGCAGATGGCTAAGGACGAGAATATAGAGTGCAAGGCGTTCCTTCACGTGGACACTAAGCCCGGAGCAGCAATCGTCAAGTCTGCTACCGACCACAAGGCAGATATCATCGTAATTGGTTCTCGAGGTCTCGGCGCAATCAAGCGCACCTTCCTGGGCAGCGTGAGCGACTACATTGTGCACAACGCCTCGATTCCAGTTGCGATTGTTCCACCGGGCCTCTGAGCTTGCGCACCCTTAGGTCGTCCCTCTTACTGTACTTACCTCATCACATATCAATCATCACCAACTTATTGTTCATTTGGACTTTATTAGATATGATTCTCCCTTGGTATTAAACGCTACGAATTTCAATTGGATTTTTCTCTCTATTCGACAACTGAACCGTGTCTGGTCTTTTGTGCAGTACGTATATTTTCTGTCCACGTGCTACATCGATGATTGCAATTCACTAGTCAACTGGGCCGAATAACAAGTTAGGTGGGCATCAGCACGCGTGGATTGCTTACATCCGGTTTCTCATGACCTTGATGTTTTGTGGTCTCCGGGTCAGATGTGTTGCCGCTGCAGATTGTACATGACGATGTCTTAAGGCGTTTAGAGTACGGAATGCGCGAATGTCAAAAATCTCATAGCAATGGATTCTTAGGGTGCAACCGTTTGTGTTTATGTTCAATTTTCAGAAAAGGTATTGTCTCGCTACTTAAACAGAGGCGCTTTCATTACTTGTCCCATTTATATTGACATCAGCCAAATGATCAAGCATCCCACACTGATGTGGTTAGTCATCAATTCATTAGCCCGCATTTAGTGGCTGAGTTGTTTGCCCAAAGTTTAGGTGTGTGCGTATTTTGGGGTGCAGTAGGCCTTGTTTTGTGATAATAACTTTCGTAAGCCCTTTCAAGGGCTTGGTGTAAAAAAAGGTGACATACGTGGGTAGATCTGTCCATATTGTATGGATTTCTTCAAAACTAGCAGCACAGACCTGAACTGAAAGCCGTCGCGGCAGAGACTATCACCCCACTGCTCGATCACGTGTCACACGGCTTGGGTGGTGAATGATACAGCACGAGTGGTTTTACCCAGTCAATGTTATTGGGTTGACTTAAATGGGAAAACACACACGCCGTCCGTCACGCGGACCCCGCGGAAGTTGGAGACATGTGGTTGCAGCTCAAGTGACTGCCCTCCCAATTCGCACCGCAGGTGAACAAAACTGTCAACGCTCTGTAACCCTCAGATGATCCCCACCACTGCCCATTCACCACGGCGATTATCTGCGATTGTATAGCGCCAACGTGCACTTCTGCATGCAAGACTCCTGTTTCTGATTGATATCGCCAGTAAACTCATCGTCGTAGGCTTCCCCAGCCCTGCCAGATGGCCTCCTAGTGCACGTCGTTACTGCGTGCAGTGACGAGCCGCCTCAGCCGTCCGCAATCCTCCCCCCCTTGCTGGCGAACCCACGAGGCGACACAGACAGCATTGGCTGCCCACATTGGATGAAAGCAACGGAACAAAGATAACTTTGTTTAGGAAGGCACAGGTACTGCTACTTCAAGGACAGTGCATGAGGTGTACTATCGATTTATCTGAACCACTCTTATTGTAGTTGAATATCACGGAAAGTGCACGCAGCATTGCAGAATCTGTTCCCAGCCATTTGGGCACTCAACGACAGTGTCTGAAATGGAGTGAAGGAAAAAACTTCACTTACAGACACTGAGCCATGGCAAAATTTGGATCGTGTTCAAACAAGGCTTTCGAGCGTATCTAGGACATGCCTTCTTAGTGAGAATTCATCTCGGAGTAATAATCCATATTTTATTGTGCCATCGATTTTAATTCATTCTCTGCGTATTCACGTCGGGACTGCCACTGGTAATCAAACTGCGGCATTCAAAAACCATTCATCCGTGCTTGACTCTGCCTCGACCGACGCGGCTCGGCCGACGTGGCTGGCATCGTGTCTCGACCGAGCCCACGAGAGGCGGCCTTCGTAACCTCCTTTTTAGTCTCCAAGTTGAAAATAATGTGTCCGTGATGTGAGATAGAAGTTGGGTGACTTTCAGAACCTGGCTCTGATTGCACCTTAATACTTATGTAGGACGATCCTAGGAAGGTTTATCTACCCACCTGAGTTACTTTCCTCTTTCTGATTGTGCCTGTTTCCAGAGAATTGCGTGCGACACTTTATTTCGAGTGGGTGCAATAACCCCAACGGTAAACTGCAACCAGTTCTAACGCATCAAGTTGCAAAAGTGAATTTGGTCAGTCGAATAACTCAAGGTCTTATGGTGGAATTGAAGTCAGCCCAGTAACCATAGGATGTCGCCGATCCGAAGCCGCACACCAGACGACCAGGTATATCACGTGTCTCACCAAGCCAACGCAAATGGTAGCTGACGATTTTAATTGTGAGCTGCTCAGAACGCTGAATTGTGGTCTTTATCGTTGACATATTCGCATTTGTAAATGGGATAATATTCTGAAACACGTAAAAGTGAAGGTGACGACATCCTTCAGCAGCTACTAGTGCGTGTGTTTCATTATTCCCGATGTGCTCGGCATAATTAAATTTACCACTGGAAAATTTACAGCTATAAGGAACCCGAGCGTCGAGACACCGTCACACTGCGTCACCACAAATGCGAAGCATGGGCTTCTTCAGGACCACATGAGCCGTAGTTTAAAAGGCTCTCAGTTAAATCAAATTTTTCTGACATATTATTCTATAATTTTGAAGTATGAATCAAAATAATATGCACTCGATTTAGTGCTCTTCTAAGTTGTGGCGTGTTTTGGTTTTGGGACATCCAGATTTTTAAATTGCTAAGACTGTTGGCAGGATTCATGAAACTGTTCCCTTATGTGCAAACTCGATGTAGGAAATTTATTGATTGATATTTCTTGGTCAAAGAGTGGCTCTGATCGATTAAGAAATTTCTTCTATTGTAGTCTGACCACCAGATACAAACTGAAACATGAACGTATCCGGAGAAAAACGATACACAGAGATCTGCCGAGAATGGCAACGTTTATGCTTTTCGTAACAGATCCAGGCACGTCCTCTCGTATTGGGCGATCGATTGCCACGTCAGAAATCCTACGACCATCTTCTCGCGTTGATGATTGGTGGCAGATAATCGATTGTTGACTTATGTACGTAGGATCTGGCCTACAAACTGCACTTTTCTACACTTCTCTTTTCTACTGATGAGTGAACCGATGTACCTGTCGTCGCCTGTCTTTCCGTCGCTCTTGGGAACCAAGAAAATTAAGAGGGCCCAGCACTAAGACTCGGTGCTACTCATTTGCCACCAGAAACGGTATTCAGTGTAGAACCCAAGCTGACAATAAAACTGGTAGCACTACAAAAGTGCTAATCAGTTAAATTTTGGCAATTAGGAAACTGCCCGATAAATGCTGCCTTGATGGTATATTGAGAATATCTGCCTCAAGTACAATATGGACGAAATCCGTCCGGACAATTTCAGGCCAACCACCGGAGCCGCCCCGTTGCTCGGTCGACAGATGGCATTGCATGACCGTACACTTCTGTACCATCTTCCACCTATAGTGCGATTCTGTCTAGGCATTTGTCTGTGCTTCTTGCACCATTCGAACTCAAAACCAACTCATCGCGTGCTCACGTTCAGTACGGTGCAACAACTTGATCACTCGGTGTGTTTCCACAACTGAATAGTATTGGCTCTTGGTTTTGTCCATGAGTTGACACCAATTTTTGGTCGGCTTGTCACCGAACAGCATCCACTGCCATTACTAGCGTTGAATGACTCCTCACATAAACTTGCGTTTGAAGTATATTTAACTGTCTTCTCTCATTGTGTGACAATTTTATGTCCGATTCGACCACTGTGTGATCACACTACAATCTCTACGATTAGACGTCGGGACTGAGACTGATTTCATCTCGACTGCGTTGTCTTAGACGGTAATCGAAGTATTTTCATGAAGAACTCCGCCACTTCAACCGTGCCTCCAAACGCGAATAAATCCGTCACGAACATGCGTGGATGCCTTGGTCACACTTGCCACTCTTGTCCATGCAGAGACAGACTAGCTAATCACCGCGTAAGGAACTGGTGGGGATGAAAACCCCTCCGGGTAGAGTTTGCTGCATTTCGATTTCCTGAGGCTACTGGTTCAAATCAGTTTGTAGTTAAGGGAAGCAAATGCATAATTTGTGGTGTTGTGCATTAAATGCGAAGTGAGGATTCATGCGTGAATGTCAAAGCCGACGGCGTCACTCCGTTCGGATCGAAGATGCCTGTAGCTATATCTAGCTTAGAGTGTAGCGACTCCTTAGGGACAGTTTCATTGCAACCTCTTTGTTTAGGCACAATACTGTTTCATAAATTATAATTCTTTTCTTCGCTGCCCCAATAAATATGGGAAATCCTGGCACATTTGTGTGTTAGAAATTAAATTTATTGTTCCGGAATTTCAATGACAAGGTTAAGGCTAAAAGATTAGAGGCCCCCAACTTTTCGCAGAACATCGCTCCTCATCACCAGCACTGTGGGAGTTGCGTTCTCAACAGCCCAGGATATCCTTAAAAATATAAAACAGGCAGTGTTTGAAAAATGGCTTAAGTTCTTGTGTTCTAATAAATGCCGTCCTTCAGTAACAAAATTCTGTCGAAGTTGCACAATTTATTGTATAAATTTCCGCTGATATATCAAAAGACACTACATAGGGACGGTTATTTCACAACTGCATCGCCATCTTTGATACACGTAACCAACAATCCTTTCAACCGCTTCTTTCGCTTGCTATCACCAATCTGGGAGATGTCTATGGTCTTGTTAAAGTGGAAAAGCGCCATAAATTAACAAATCTCTTTTGGGAAAACGTTCGCCTTCAGTTTACCGCGAAAACTTCTATAAGTGCATTTTCGCCCCACGTTTTCGAATAATAGATACACCTTTCCCGATTGCACAAAACTGCTTTAATTTTCATTGCTATGAAAGAGGCAACAGCCAAGTGTGTGTGAAACAAATGCCCTAAACACATGTATAGACATACTTATTCAGCAAGCATGTGATATGCTCTTGATGCGGATGTCTATTTATTCGGCTCTGCTCACACGAACACAACTCCATAATGGCGCTGTACCGATGTTTACACAAACAACTTGTCACTCAGTGTCAATCACTCTCAACTCATTCTACCAAGATCGCCCATGCACATGAGCGGACACATCTGAACATGCACTCGATCCTGGACTTTGAACTAAGATAGTACAAGCTCGCTTGTCTTGGCCTTTTCTGAGGTGGTGGGAATTGTGCATTTGGTCACGAACAAAAATGCAACAGTTGACATTCAGACATTAACCTGATTGCGTTACACGGTTGCTACTATTCGTTCGCATGTACTTTACACGCACTCGAAACTTGTGAGATTTGGTGGTGTAAGAACCCCCGAGTCGTGTGTAAAGAATTCAGAAGTATGATCCTAGCATTCATCGAATTGTGCAGCCAAATCTAAAACAACGTCGACAATTTTACAGCTGTTCGGGTTAACTGTACACCTCACCGAACCCGACTACACTGGGAAAGAAAGGTTTCTTTTGTGGAACACACATCACTCAACCGAAGGACCGAACCAGACTGGTAGTTAGCTATTGGATCAACCTCTACGCTGATGCATTCTTCACACGTGTTTGAAGTAGACTTTTCCAGTTTAGTCACCAAGGTGTGGCGCGTAACATGCGAGCGAGCACACACACGCACGCTTAACCACCCGGCTACCCGTTAGCGACTACGGCTAGTCATGTGGCTTGATCGACATTGTGTACAGGTGCACAACTGTCACGGAATGCACGGCGTCGCAGGCAGAACGACTCGTGTGACCAGAATACACATACCTTGACCGAATGTCTCTGACTACTTAACACGGGCAGATTCGGACTTGGGACCTCTAAGTTTACCCCACGACATGCGTGCCTAGAGTACTTCTACTGCTAAATAATGTACTAAATAAGGTAGTTTCATGATTCCTTTCAGTACCACCAACATTAATAGGAACCAAGTTAATACTGCAGTCCCGAGAAATTGAAAAAACGACCGCTCCGGCATCGCCAAATGGCAATAAAAATGAACCCCCGAAAAGTGTTTAGCAAAAGAGATTCGAAAGTGCAAGCCACTGTTTGGACGTTTATTAGTCAGAATTGTGATATATCCTTTATTATGGTTAGGAAAATTTGTGCGCGGTGGATCCCAAATAATTCAATAGGTCAGGGACAATTTACATGATTTTGACAACATTAGACATACATTTACCCGGAACATTCGGGATACGAACAGGAAATATCCGAGCAGACATGTACATTCGCACGCAGGATAACGTTCATGGCTTTACACAAGTAAATATTTTGGCAGTACGTTGGTTATGGTCTTTGTGATGGGGAATGTGCGCATAAAAAATCGTGACGAGATAAGGCAACTCTCATAATCAGTGGTCCGGTGCAGTGGCGGTAGAAAAGGGCTCTGCGGCTGGCTTAGTAGGTGAGCCAGGGAGCGGCATGTTAGGGTGGCCTGTGGCATTGACAGCACCTGGAGCGCTCAAGTGCGTTTGGTTTTGGAGCTCTTGCTGCAATTCCGCAGCTTTTTTCCGCACTGCGGGAACATTCTCAGGAGTGGGAATCGTATCACCGGTTTGCTGGGCGGCCATGACTTCAACGGGAAGAACAGGGGAGGCAGAGGATGTGAGTGGATTGGCTGTTAATGCACCAGATTTTTGAGGATTGTTGCAACGGGCTTTCGCCATATTGTAATCTCCGGAATCAAAATACTTCACCTAGAGCAGAAAGGAAGCTAGGAATTCCTCGGGATTAGAATTTGACATTAATCACAATAAATAATCCATCCAGCAGATTTGCAAGGCTTGCTCAAATACTTCGTGTTTCCAGCAATTATATAACATCAATTCGACATTTCATTACAGTGTCGGAAGAGAATTCAAGAACAGTTAGGTCCATGTTCGCGGCCAAAGATGGAAAAGGCTAATTTGTCAGTAAAAGGGGTAGACTACCAAAACATATTCAGGAGCTTATTAGCCACCGATTAGAAGAGTTGAAAATAATCATGTCATCCACTGTAACGCCGCAGCTTTGCAGTAACTGATGTCACACATGAAATGTTTTCAAATTAAAAAAGAAATGAATACGCGATCATATATGCCTTAAAAAGGCCTGTTTTAAACCAATTCACACGAAGATAGCTAATGCATCTGAACACAGACGTGCAAACAACGTAAAAGAGGTGAGTAGAAAGCACGACAAAATTCGCAGTAAGTCAAGAAAACTTCCAACACGTAAGCCAACTGCTATGACGAGTAAAAGGTTAAATCTCTTCACATTTATTGTTAAAATTAGTATGAAGCTCCCCTCTTAACTTACTGTGCATAAATACACGTAAACATTACTAACCGCAGTAAAATATCCTCAAAGTCGAAACGCGACACATATAATTCCAGCAAACGTTTGACGTTTTGGTTTGCAAAAACAAATAACTTGAAAAGACTCACGTTGCGATTGAGACGTTTTTGAAGAATTGATGGGCCCTTCGTTACTAAATTAGGGTACTTCGCTCGTAGCTTCTCCTCTTCGATTTGTTCAGGAGTTTTTTCCTATTCATTAAAACCATGATAATACATATCGGTAGTGCGTACTTCTGAGGAAACAACATTATCGCCACTGCTCATCTTCGAAACAGACACACCGAAGGGAATGATTAGACTGCCTACCAAACGATCGGACGTTTTATAAATGATTAAAACAAAATAGAATTAATAACAAAAGATATATTTCTGAACCAATCAACTCATGTGTTATCTGATAGGTCACAAATTTCACATAGCAAAAGAAAATAATTTCATTAATTGCTGTTTTTCCTAGTGATTAAAGGATAGTCTTTGAAATCGAGATTAATTGATCACCGAAATTTACGGATGGAACGTAGTAATAATTATGTCAATACTTCCTGGAGCTAACCAATGTACTAACACTCAGAAATTTGAGATTTGGATTTTGATTTCAAAGATATTGGAGTAAAAATTGGGTGCTTCATGGACTTCGCATTTATGAAATCGATTTTAAATATTGAGACCTGAAAACTGGAAAGCAAATCAAGTCTCAAAAATTATGCGTTTCTAATGAACAATGACCCTCTGTCATATCTTATAAGGTTCCTAAGAGTCAACAAACTTACTCGACTGATAACTTGAAATCACTCGGAATCAATTTTCATTTAACGTTCCAAATCTGTGAAGTTAGAATATTTTGCCAAATTATTGGTATTTATTCGGTTTTGTCTTCCGTAGAAAAAATGGGACATTACAATGATCTACCCGAACGATTAATTATGGACAAAACTTGTGCAATCGCTCCTTGAACTTAAGCTCAGACTCACCACGAATTATAACAGAACTCGCCTAATATTTACTATTTGAGTAATAATCTAGTTTCTAGTTTGAAAACTTGAAAGCAACTATTAGCATTTGGACCTCATTACATAACTGACGTGGTAATTAATGGACAATTGGTCACCTAATATTTTTACCAAAGTTATGCCTTTTATTGTTTATTTGGTCTTAAGGAAAATAAAAAAAAACATTCTGGGAGTTCGCCCGCAGCTATTTATGTGGTTGGGCAAAGTCACCTCAACTCACTTGCCAAACTATGGGGGCCGTGGATTTTCGCCGTAAAGTTACTACAACCAACACCACGGCGGAGGCAGTTATGGGGCCTTTTTGGTGAGTAAGAATTTTGTAGAGCTTGCTGACAGTCTTGCAAGACAGGCGGTGGTGAATCGAGAAACCAATTCGTTGCTGCTTGCGAACACATTGATTTGATTTTATGACTGGTGCAATGCTTTTAAACGGAGTCAAATCATGCAAAGTTCAAATTCAAAAGGCATGTTTTCCACTGTCACTAAGGTGTCTGCCAGCGATTCTGCGATATATAGCAAATAAATGTAACTGTATCATTTAATCTAGACCTTTGCTGAACTAAATTGTGGTTGATCACTACAATTGACATGGCTTGATCGCATTTGTCCACACGGAGTAAAAACAAAAGTAGTCACGACATTTCGCCATTGGGGAATATAAAGTCCTAGATCGATACACTTTATTAAGGATATCCAAAACAGGACGATGACAAACATCTCGCTAACACAAACATGTACAACATTCTTTTGTCGTGATAATACGAGCAGCAGTTCCGATGACACCTCAGTAGACTGCTGGGGAATATTTTAGAATCGTTGAACGTTAAGAGTTCTCTCGATTATCGTCTTCATTCGTACCCAGTGGCCCTTGAATCAGTGGATCCAACTCTCCAAAAGTGCCAGCCTCCTTGCTGTGCCACCAACTCCAGGAAAAATAGATAACAAGGCCTTAAAGAAAAGAGCGAAAGCAAATATTGAATATTTTCTTCACCCTCACCGAATAAAAGGCATCTGCAAAAGATGCCACTTCTCTTAAAGCCGTTACCATAACGAAAGCAAATCAAGCTGTTTGAAGTCTTTTGTATTTTTTTATACAAAATTGAAGGTGCTACTTGCAGTTGAAAGGTGATTTATTAGAAACTGCAGCACGTTGATAATCAGCATATGCACAATACGATAATATTCAACCCAATATGAAACCCTAATACGTTGAGTAATGATCCGACGTACCAAATGTAAAATACCATTACTATATTTGAGTAATCAGTTTAAAGCAAAAAAAGGTTGTAAAATCCAGATCCATCCCTTTGATATTTGCGCATTTACTGGATTGCTTTGATTTAAACTACATTTACAAAAATTGGAAAGTACATTAAACGCAATTGCAAAACGAGGAACCCGCACTCGGATATGCGAACACGGCGTGATACCAAAAATGTCTCCAAACTTACCAATGGCTGACCAACCAAAGAACCGAACCCATGTCATCGGTGATAACTTCACGATGAGGCACATATTGAGGAAAATGCAGATGCATGGCACGACTGGAACAAATGGAACCTAAAAAAATAACATGATGAAAGGCGACAAGTACTTTGTCCTAACAAGATGATTGCCATTCCAGGTGACCGCCCCATGTGCAAAAGTAAACTTACTTCCTTTAATATGGCAAACACAATACTCATTGACTTTTTAGATCTGTTGGACTGCCTTATTAACGGTATAGGGAACATGAGGAGGATAAAGTGAATTCACAGCCTACGACAGCGTTGTCTTGTTTTTAAGTGCAAGAAGTGGCTCCAGTTTAACCGTTTTTATACGCATCAGATATGCTGTTCCTGACAAGATGCTCTTAATCTCCGATCTCATGTAAAAACTATAAAGAAGCATTGTTGAGCAAATACACTTCATCCAATCTGTGATACTGGCATAATCACTTCCCGAATATTTGAAAACGTTATGGTCAAAACAAATTATACAAGGAATATTTTACGTGTTACGTTGGGGGGATGTTTTTAGGAATGAATTTCACTGTATCAAACTGTAGATGTATCAACTACCTTATTGGGATACATCTACCAGGTACAAAATAGTTTTCTTTTTTTTCAAAGTTTTCTTTCCGTCTGCATACTCAGATAGGAATTTCTGAAAATTCCACAATTATCCATTTTGTTACACATGATCACCTTGAAATTGCAAAACCGAATTTACCACGGATAAGAGACTAGGAATGGAACCACAGTTTCCTGCCAACCGCCAACGGCAAATGAACTATTTTTTAGCATGTCCAGAGGAAACTTCCGCCGAGAGTGACTAGCTTTGGTTTTTGTGAATTTACGTTCTTTTTCCGAAGCTATATTTGGGCTTGTGATTGATTACCTTGAATGCGTCGAAGGACTTGTTCTGCACGTGAGCAATCATAACGAGGACGCAGGTCAGACCGGTCGCAACAAAAACCACTGTCAACAGGATGGCCCACCACGCCAGGGAGACGAGATGCTCAACACCGACCAAAGCTAGAGCGGCCACGACCAGGGAGCTGAAGACGTAAATAATCAAAGCAGCGATTGGTGCGCGGCCGGGCGATGAATCACGCAGCAAAGGAATGTCTTTGAACTTGGCCTTAAGTGAACCAATCTGATGTACCCGCTTCGCAAGTTGGACCTCATTCATCTCATAAATGTCCTCTTCTGGTTCGATCTTAAAGCACAGTAAATTATATTAAATAAACCACTAATTGACTATGTAACATCACTCTTCACTTACGTCCTTCGTTTCCACTTGTGCCGGCTCGCTGTCAAGCTTGGACTCGACATCAAACTGACAATAGCGAAGGATGCAGACGTTCATGCACACGATAGTGAAGGCTATCAACGTCCCGATACTGAGGAATTCAGCTAGCGTGTGAATATCACAGAGGAACGTCAGAATGGCTGCAAGGCTCCCAAAGATGGCCATTGCAACAACTGGGACCTAGGTTTAAAAGTTAAACAGGTAATGAGGGAAATTGAATTGTCCACTAACACATGGGATGTGTGCATATATTATGCCCAGTTTTGAACCTCTAAGTACCTTTAAATGCTGGAGTTTTATACTCTAGTTACATTCTTTCATCTCATGTACACGTCGCCCTACGTGTGTTTGTATTGTGCCAGCGCACATGTGCTCACAGCAGGTATGCGTACTCGAAGAGTTCCAATTAAACATGTGAGAACACGCACGACGAGGCACTCGAGAAACTCGCTCATGGAATCTTGACGATGACGTTCGCCTACTGGTTGGTGTGGTGGTAGCAGTTCCAAAATGCAGTAGCCCATACAAAATCACTCTGAAGAAGGTTTGAGCTAACGTTTTTGATTTGCAGTGAAGTGTCTTCCATTTCGCGGTCAAACAACTTGGTGAATGCAACGCTATTCATACGAAATGACTGCTATCTAAAGCAGGCTAAATGTGGAACGCTTTAGTTCTCAATTCCAATGTACATTTGGCTCTGTGGTTGGTAGGAATTGGTACAACTAATGACTTAACGAAAGAGCAATCTGTTTGCATTTCAGTCATGTTTGCAGCTGAAAAAATTCCCCATCTCTCTGAATTAACCTTTGAATGCGAGTTTAGCGGAACAGCGGAGATGCAAGTGACGCACAGAACTTCTGTGTATCACTCAGATTCAGTTTTGCACTAAAACTTGCGCACACTCCTCATCACTTAGGTTTGCTGCTTGATCCAGGTGAGTTGCCATTTGAGAGTCTCGAACGTGATTGAAGAGGCAGCCAGTTGCAAATTCCACCCACACTGCAACATAGTCAATTTTTAAATTGCTCGCTTAACAGCTCGTTCCTTATTTCGGTAAACATGCGTTAGGCACGCACTTAAGCATGACCAAACAACCTTGCATCGTGAGGCGCGCCGGCACAAAAATAGAGCAGCGTACGCGCGTAAAGAGACCAATCAAAATCCAGCGGACGATTTGTTAGGGCATGGCGTCAATCAATACCGTGGCAGACTTAGCGACCAATCAGTGATCTGCGACTGATAGGTTAGATGAAGGGTCTGAGTGAAATGACTTGTGTTAAGTGTGACGTAGCGATTTTACAAAAGCATTTTGGAATTTGTGTGAACGGTGTCTTGGGTTTTTTAATATTCAGCGCAGAAATGCGCGTCTTTATTTTCAAGAGATATGGCTATTTTTGGGGACATCACTACTCGCCTTAGTGGAGGGCAACACATATCCGATCCACTCTGGAAGCAGTCTATCAGCTGCCATTGCGTAGACAATTCGTGGCATAGCGTAGAGGCTGGTAAAGAGACTTGCTCCAATGCCTAGCAAAGATCCAACACCGGCCACATAAGTGGCCCAGTTGATCGCCCTTGCTCTCTGTGCCGCAGTAAAGGCAGCCTGCCTATCCACCGTCCACCAAGGAACAAAAAGTACAAGGCTTGATGACGCCAGGACGAAGATGCATGTTGCGAAGGTAACGGAAATTCCCGTTGCTAGAGGAACCGAACGCTTTGGATCAGTTGCTTCTTCCCCACTCACAGTGATTGCGTCGAAACCGATGAAGGCGTAAAAACAGGTCCCAGCACCAGCGATCACGCCACCAACACCGTAGGGAAAGAAGCCACCATGTGAACTGGGGGCGAATCCGTGCAACGTGGGGTCGGGTAAACAGAACATCAGGGTTGTGACTAGGACGATGACCATCAAATTGAGTATGGTTAAAACCGAGTTAAAATGAGCTGAGAGCTTCGCGCCGCAACAGAGGAGCAAAGCAAGGACGATCACGGTTCCAGCTCCGAGGAAGTCAGGATACTGCCCAAGAAATTCAGTATTCTCTGGAAATCTAATAAAAACCAAACACATAATACCCAGATGCTTAACCATTAGGTGGCAGTTAGTAGTCCCTAACAGTTTAGGAAGCTCTGGGGCTTTCTTCAGGATATGCACAAAATACATTGGGTTTATGTTTAGGAGTTATTAATATTGCGTAACAAAGCATGGATTTAGGCTTAAGATAGTTTCTCATAAGGGCATTCTGTTAACAAGCGTCGCGTTTTGTCATGGAATTTTACTGATTCTAGAAACGGCACAGATATAACGATTCGCTCGTACAACCTACATCCTTGATCGAATCTTTCATGTCTTTTCATCAGTTGAATCCGTCAAATTTGCTCACATGAACGAACCAAGTAGTCGTCGGGGTCAACCAAGGCCCTGTGGCTATACGGGGCTACGAGTTCGTTGTCCTGGCCACGACGCATCAACTTATCGATACGAGATCAAGAGCTTTTTTCGCAGTCAAAGCGATTTGAAAAAGAAACGAAATGCATCTGACTGTTTTTGGGTTGAATGACTCGAGGTCTTGCTTAATGTAGAAGTAATAAAATCTTTTAAGGTCAATACTAAAAAGTACACGCACCTTCCGAAAACAGCCATTGTCCCGTTGCTGATCGCGGAATGGGTCATGGCATCGATGGTGGCACTCCACCCTCTGGCCACACTCGCCACCGACAACACGTACTCGAGTATCACGGACCAGCCGATAATGAAGGCGAGAAATTCACCACTTGCAATGTAGGTGTACGAATACGCTGAGCCTGCCTGCGAAAAATCAGCATGCTTAACAAAAGGTACGAAGTGAACCGTTCAATGTGAGAGCCATTGGGTTTTTATTGACACAAATGCACTGCTCCAAAGTATTTTCATCTACGATGTTTCACTTTTAGCCAATTCCAGTGTTTTTTTTTCCTAGGAAAGTGTAGTGTGGTGTCTGTAATGTAGCTCATTTATCCACGTAATAAGGTTTTATTACTTAAATAAGGTCAACATTCTGACATTATGCACTTTGATGGTCGCAGTTTTCGACAAATACCTGAATTTCTTGGTATGCATGTCCAGATTTTTTAATCTATGAAAAATAAAAAATCTTGCGTAGTCGGATTGAATGGAGGATATACCGTTTTGCTAAACAAAAAAATTGGGTATCCCTCGCTAGACCTTCACAATTCAAGCAACCGGCCATCCGAGTTAATTATACCATTGACCCTCTAATAAAATATCGCTTTGAAAGCCGTAAAAAATGACTAATTAAGTACCAAACCACACCGGAGACCACTCAAAAAAGGGTAATTCCAGTCATGGACAATTTCTGGGAAAGAGACTGTTTTATCCGTGATGCGCGCAAGTATGCCTGGTTCCATTTAAAGGCATTGGTGGCAAACAAAAGCTAAAACTTTCTTAAAGGTTAAAAAGACCTGGTAAACAAATAAAAAGACTGAGAAAGACACGGCTGCCCAGAGATACGTTTTGCTTACACATGTAGGCCCTCTAGCACATTCATACCTGGCCTGTCAATTGAGCAAGCACACTTAAAGACAGATGCCCTAAATTGAGAGTTTTCTGACGACTACAGCACACTTGCAATTTCTTTTGTTTCAGGTTTCAGTAAATGGTAGATTGCATGCACACTTGCCTTAGGAATGCGGGAACCCAATTCGGCATAGCAAAGTGCATTGAGAAATGCCGTGACACCGGCGATCAGGTAGGATAGGAAAATCGCTGGACCAGATCGATCCCGAATAACTGTTCCCGTCAGTACGTAGATTCCTGCGCCGGTCATATTACCTACAAGTCAAATTTCTATTTCCTAACTTCCGTTTTAGCAGAACGCACGACTACTACACTTTTTTTTTCATTGGGCGTCTGTAATGGAAAAAATGCATCTAGCCATCAATACGCTTAACGACTTATGAAATTGATCAACATGAGTAAATTTCATGTGAGTTCAGAGAGAGAAATTTGAGCAAGTCCTAGTTAAAACCCAGACACAGTTTGAGTATTGTGAGATTTCCCACGCGTCCAGTTGCATTTACTCAATAAGAGAATTTCTATGTATTCTAGTGCCTCTGAGGAGTGATTAAGGAAAATACATTTTACAATTATTGTACTAGATGGTTTGGGCTGGAGTTTAATTGTTTTCCAAACTAGTAGGCAAAAAACATTCAGAAGTGAGATCCCAGATAAACTCCATGGTTATCAAAAGACTATAATATATGGAATAACGTTCGATTTATGACTATTAAACCTGATCACTTTTCTGAGATTTAGCTGGCTCCTATGAAGGCCATGACAAGGCAATTTGTTGGGGAACGAGGTCATAGGTCACGTGACAATCTGAGCAGCGCGACGATGGCAATCGACAGGTTAAACCGAACACTCAGCTGAAATTGACCGCATTGTTTCTTGCACCTGTTTTTCCCACATTAGCAAACGTGTGCTGCTGGTAAACCAGTTGCTGACCTCTGTCAGTGTGCTGGCCGTCCCGTTGCCATTAGTTCTTTCTGAGATGTGGGTTTGGATTCTAAGACTAGGCCTGGGAAGACCGGAATGCAGCATCACTCTAATATGCGACAGAATGGACAAACACTACTCCAATTCCTCTCGGTTGAAATAAATATGCCTTGTTTTTTTTACGAGAGGAAATAAAATAAGCAGCAGCTTAAGTAAATGAAAAGGAGCTGAATTTAGTTTAACTACAATGAGGCGATTGACCTAACAACAGGCCGTGCGGGTCAGTGTTGTCCTGTCAAGTCCGTGCTTGATGAATGTTGCCCACATTTAATTAGAAGAGCTATCCCTTGGGAAGTGAGTACAACCCAATGCAACATTGTGGTATAAGTGTCAGTCTTCAAGAAAAAACACGCTTACTTGTGACATTAAAGGGTCATATAACAAAAGTTTTTCAGGGAAACTTAAGTCCACGACCTACCATCGAAAACCCTATTTCATGCTTGACGTAATATAATTTCTTCAGATAGAATTACACGTAACCATTACCACTCAGACTCACCTAACCCCAACAGAGTTAGATCGAACACATTTAGACATCGGTGGAGGGGGGTGTCAAGGCTCGATAAGTCGAGAGATTTGGTTCTCTTCATAGCCTTCCATATCTCTCGAAGTCTAGATCTGGCCCGCGCCGACACTCCTTCGCTCATCGCAATCAACTTCGTCTACAACGAAAAGACATGAAGTGAATCCGAGCGCCCACCAAACTGCTCATAAATCCTGTGTTTCACCTTAGAAAAGCAGCCAATTGGAGTGCGCACGCGAAGAGGACGACGCGCGTTCGCGCCCAATTAAAAATCAGGAAAACACTTGCTTCCCAATTTTGCAGTCCAGGGAAAATACCGGTTGTTGCCACAGTGCATTACATTTTTTTTTATCCAGAAACGCATTATTAATCATGCTCCCGTACCTCAGTTTTTGGGAGATAGAAACGTCCAGAGACTTCTTCGATGATATTCTAGATGATTCCGAAGATCCTTGTTAAAAGTATTCATTCGTTGAAGCAGTTTCATATTGAATTTGATCAAGAAGATTATATAAAAATGCTCTTACACTATGGCAACATTAGTCAACTAACGAAAAATGCATGTTAACGATGCTGCAGGATGCCTGGCTTTAGAGATACTTCAACAAATACCACTGTAATTAATGGTAAATTTTAAAAGCAGGCCACTGATCATCTATGGTTGCCAGTCCTTCAAAATTATAGTTTACAGGAAATCACATTTGGTTTTGTAGTGTGAATAAAACTTGTTTTCACAAAGAATGAGTTTTGACCGCAATTGTTCCATTTTTGATGACTTTTCATAAAATTGTCGTGATCATAGAGTTTCTGGACTTTGCCTGAATGAAAATAAACCAAGTGCAACGTGAGATCCACGTGAGACATCACTCTTCAACCAATCTCCATTAATTTTTTACTAGTTACAGATTTTGTGTGTGAGGCCTTGCATTATCCTGACTTGCCACGTCTACGACTTGCCAATTCTGGTCCCTTTCTTCCTTAATTACTTCCCTAACTTCACCTATTTCATTGACCGTCATCGCCCTAATTAATCACTTGATTCATTGGTGACAACTGAAAGTGTAAAACACCTTTGTAATCCCACTGAAGTGGCACTCGCTTGATCCTCGCTTGATGCAATCCAGCTCTCCGTGTGGTTCATGCTGATTTAGCCTGCTTGGAAATGGCTGTTTTTGGATGACGTTATTGTGGCAAACAGACTTCACCTGTCTGGCAGCATGACGTAAATTATAGCGTAATAAAATTCCTGAGACCTCTTAATAAGTTAAAACAGTTAGTACACTTTCAATCGTTAATCGGGAGAAACTACTTAGGGAGTAGAGAACACATGAGAGCCTGATAGTTTGTGTATTAAGTGACAATCCATTTGAGAAAATAGTTATGCTACATAGCCTGCCTGTGACGGAACGAATTGACGTGTGCCTCTACAACCATGTCTCGTCACGCACGTCGGCGAGGCTAACCCTTCGTGGATCAAGACACACTTGGAGATGCAATTTCATGTGCTTAACAACATAATTCGAAATGAAGATGGAAGCACAGAAGTGAAAGCACATAATCTATGGGCAGTGTCGCATTCAATGGTAGTGCTGCTGTGGGTCTGGTGGGAGGACTGCAGAGGAGCTATTTTGCACGAGCTCCCTCCCCCACGTGGTCAAACAGTAGCTGAGGTCAGTGGTGTGACCACCTGGACCACGTCGGTACAGAAATCTAACAAACTCAGTCAATTGTAAGGGTGCCACCTCTGACCACCAGTTGCTTAATTGACATCATAAACACCCACGGAGCTAGTCTGGGAAATTCTCCTGCATTACGCGCCCCATTCTCATGACCTTGCCCCTTCAAATTTTTGCCTATTTCGTTATCTGCAAAATAATTTTGATGGAAAATTTTTGATTTCTTCACCGAAATCAAAAACTACCTTGAGACCTTCTTCAAAAAGCAGCCATCCAGCTTTTACGAAGGAATCGAAAAATGCTGAAGAGATCAATTGATAAGTTGGCTATATTAGACATCGGTAAAGTTCGTGAATGTCCACTCAAGTTTTGTTGTGCCAATTTATTATGCCCAAACACACGTTTAATATTATGGTAGCAGTAGTTTAATAGTTGTTATTGTTCATTGTCACCTATAATTAAGCAATTCGGTAAGCGGAGGGCGGTAATGAAATTGAAATGTCACAGACAGAATACAGACGATTGACCAATAGAAAAAGAGAGCGATTTTTCAAAATATGGCTTAGGCAAGGGAATCACGAGCAACGGTATTGAGTGGTAATAGAAATGATCAAACTCATGGTTCTGTGCCGCTATTAAAAATGCAATGGAGTTAATTCGCCTTGTAGTTGAACAAGACTTTTAGTGCATTTATCGATCTTATTTTAAACCATTGAATCCAAATGTTCATTAACGGTGTGATGTCAATGGTACTGGACGTCAATTACAGTGAATCACCCATTCTGTCTCAAACATTTGCACCAGCAAAGCTGAGATTCCATAGAAGAGGGTAGAAAATACAATACACGCCCGAAGATGATTGTTGCAGCTTGATTATATAAAGTACACGTTAAGGCCACTGAAAAGTTGTTTGAAGACCCTAAAGGTAACACAGGAATTTGGCATCAAAAGTATGCAGCACCAGGCATAAATACAAAGCTCCTCGCTAAAGGCAGTTTCTGTCTGTTGGGGTAACCTAATAGGTCATGCAATGAAAGGCACTGACATGATGGAAATTGCAGTTTGTAGTTATATCACTACCCCAAATTATGGTCTTTGTCACCTGCACATATTGATTAGTGAAAAAATCCACACTTGGCAGTCATTGTATGTTAAATATATAATTTTTAGGGACGGGGAATTTTACACGGTTGATAGCACAAAATACATTTGTTTCCTAACAGCACTCACCTAAGCTACTGTTAGAGGCACACTTCGTTTTGCTTCGTTCTGTCAAATCGTGCGGACCGCATACATCGAGTTTCAGTGCTTGTGTTTGGTTGCCTCAAGTAGCTAAATGCAGTCGAATTGTCTCTATTGGGTCTCCTATCAAGTTCTTCGTTGGAAGCACATGGATTGCTATTCCAAAACCACGGAAATATCATCAGTAATGCAGGCAGGTCACCCAGAGCGATGTTTATCGTTTCGATTGAAGTCGTCATTTGTCAATGGACTGAAACCATTTCAAACTATTCTAAAAGCAGGGTCAAGAGCCAAATACAGGTCTTGGATGATTTTTGTTGATGATACCAAACTCTTTTATTTTTAAACGCATATTACTTAATGTGACGACAGTGTGGAATTATGCTTACGATTCTGTGTGTACACCCAGAAAACAACTCAATTTGAGCAAACTTTTGTAGGGTTGTGTTAACTCACAAAGCATTTAAATAACTGTTAGTTAATGAAATGATTATGGTTGGGACATCCGCACAGTAGAATTTGCTCGCTTCTGTCGTCCATTAAAATCTGGCATCGAATTTTCCAAGAAGGCACTAAGTTGCCCTTTTTGTGAAACTTTAGGACCCCTTCTATCCTGCGTGTTTCCTTTATGCGGAGGTGCTGTGCGCCGATGTCTTTGTTGAGGTTTAAAGTGGTGTGTTGAGGAGGCTGAAATTCTTCCACGAAGAGTGAACATATTCACGAATAAATAAATAAAGAAAGTCGTCGCTAACAAAGACAAGTTGTTTATCTCAGGAATCATTGCTCTTGTCTTGTCTTTTCTTATCAATGCACCTCTGTACGTTTTGT